AACTCAGAACCCTATAAACCCTAAACCCTAAACCCGACAGATGCCGCCGGCCTTACTTTCACGAGAAAGGTCTTCCCCTGCGTGCCGGTCCCAATCCTGACCCATTTCGGGTTTGTAGGGTTGGGGGGTTTAGGGTTTAGGGTTCTTGCAACAAAGTCGGAAAATCATGGGAAGGACATAACTGTTTCTGTCGATGCGTTACCCTCTATTTTGTTGGGTGATAAGGGGGAACATACTTTGAGCTTCAGGTCTCTGGGTTAATACACTGGTGCCAAGTTAAAAGCTTTGTGTGCAACTGCAGCAGCAGCAACAACAATAAGCACAACGACCATCACAACCACAACCGCAAACAAAACAACAACCAGCAACAGCAGCAGCTGAAACCAACTGCGAGGATTTAGTTTGGAAGTCCTGAGCTTCCTAGACCCTCCAGCGACCCTCTGTTGGAGCCTATATACCCATTACTTGGGACCATTTACCCCTAGAAGGAGGGTACTGGTTGTTCACTCTCCGAACCTGCGGTCAGTCGAACGTTGAAAACTCGAAGTTGGGGTCTCTCATTTCGTCAGGTGAACCGCCAAGCCCGGAACCGCTCTGCTGAAAAAAAGACGCGGTGCGGAAACCCTACCTACCCATAGGCCGCATAGTAGTTCCTTTTTGGGATTACCTTATAGGATTCTGAATACCCCGAAAAGGAACTACTAACGATGGGACCTATTGGGCTTTATAAACCCTAAACCCTGAAGATGCGGTTCGGGAGCGCAGTGCAGGCGAAGCGCTGCTTCAGTATCTCATACTTGTCTTGGAGGGTCGAGGTGCCCTGGAGGACATTGACCTCGAGCACTGTTAGCTGAGACCGGCTCCCACCCCTAGGCCCTAAGCCCTACCTGGAGCCTAAAAACCTACCAGGACCCCCCAATGGCCTTTAATAGAGCCCTTATGGTCCTTAACAGTGGGTATTTAAGGGACAATAGAGGGTAGTCGGGGGTCTAGGTAGGTTTTCAGGCCTCATAGAAAGAAATCATAATCAGGAACCCTAGAAAGGTAGGCTATTTGGGATTCAGGTAGACCCTAAACCATCATAATATAGGGGCCTTAATAATTTCAATAGGGTTTTGGGGCCCATGATACTTCAATTACAATAAGGAACCCCTTTTGCATCCGGGCTTGGAGAGTC